TAGGCATCACCCAATCCAACTGTTGGGAAGCTAGAATGGTGTTCCAAAGCCACCGAACACCATCGCAATGAATGAACAAGTGATCAATCGTCTCCCCATCCTTCTTACACATATAACACCACTCGGTAATACAAAAACCCCTTTTTCGAAGGTTATCCGCCGTTAACGCTTGCCCCCTCACAACCGTCCACAATAAAAAAGCCACCCGAGGGGGTAATTTACATTGCCACACCTTCCATGGGAATGAGCTCTGTGCAGGTTCTAATAAGGATCTAAAGTAAGAACGAACCGAGGATTTTGTATACTACTTGGTACGGAAACGTTTATGAAATTCTTGTAATAAGAATTATGTAATAAGTAAGAATGATATTTGAACAATCATGTCTTGTATATATTGAATAATAATTTATTGTTGTTGAAAAAATGTCAATTTCTTTGTATTTATAGGCAAAACTATTCTCTAATCCTATTAATATAAGAAAACTAAAATAAAGAAACTAAAAAAATTCTAATCTTAAAGAAATTAGGATTCCTATTCTAGTTAATATTAGAATGAAAAGATAAAACTTATTACAATTAGGCATCTTGTTATAAATATCTATTCCTAACCCTATTTACAATAGGATTATCCTACATCAATATCTCCCACTTGAAAAAACTCGTCCCCGAGTTTTGTTGAAGAAAAGAATCTTTGATAATTTGTGTGTTTTCGAACTTGGCTGGGACTCGAGGAAATTCTCTAGACACATGTTGCCGTGTTCTATGTTTGTTGAAACAACCAACATTCATAACAGCTTGCTTCTCCACGGGCTCACGATTCCTTTCAAAACTCAACGCAGTCAACATCAGCATGATGTTGTGAAGGGTTTCATCAATTCCCTCAATTCGTTGTTCGAGTTTGTCAAGCCTCCGTTCGTCGTTGGTGATTCGACTGAAACCAGTACCTTGTTGGTCATCGAATTAAGGCAATTTCCTTGCCCTGATACCAATTTTGGTGCGAAAACG